CTGAGTCTTTTTATCCATAGCACTGCCACAGCAGAAGGAAGGAGGCAGGTCACGCACGGGTTTTGTCTAAGAGGTAGAACAGATTGCAACAGTGAGTTGGGCACTAAGAGCTTATCGTACTATCTTTATATAGAAAATATAAATTCTATTTTCTTTCCATTTTATATTTCCCTAATTCCTAATTTTAGTTCTAAAGGTGACTGGAGAGTTTGTCAGTGACAAAGACATACATTGTGCATTGAATTCCACACTGATTTGTTGTCTTCATTTTATGGTTCTCTTCATTGAATTCCATATCCAGACATTAAAGAAGATCCTATCTCAATGCCAATTGTAGGATGAGCAAATTACTTATTTTTATTGCATAGTCTTTAAGGTACAATTACAAAGTCTATTTTGTTTTCAGTTTATGCTAAAGAATAGACTTTCTTGGGTCTTTCTGAGTTTATTTTGGGGCAATTGCCATGATCTATTTGAAGGACTGTAAATCTATTTAAAGTGCATAAAGCTATCAACCTGACAGTTAACTAAAAATGCACTTAATTCTGTTATTTTTTAAAATTCATCTGTCTCATTTAGATTTTTACCCCTAGGAAGGTCATTAGGCCACTCACTTAGGGATGCGAAGGGGTGAGGAGTGACTTATTGCTGCCTATAAATTGAATGGGTGAGGCAGAAAGTGACAATCGAGGGAGAGCTGAGGTTGCATAGACCTTGAAAAGGCCACCTGAGGCTGCTCTTGCTGCCAAATCATCAGTATTTATGACATCTTCTCTGAAGCTGTAAAATGCTGGCCCTGGGTATTATTATATCTATAGCGGTTGTATTACATGGGTCACCTATCCTGCTTCTGAATTTTGCTCAGAATATTCTCTATGCCTAAATTTGTCTTCAGTAAGTTGTACGGTGTCTAAACTTGATTCTTGAAGAAATCCTGTCTGAGTTGATTAAGCACTCTTCTTAATTTTTTAAAGGTAACTATTTCCACTAAATTTAAAAAAAAATTCTTTAAATGCCTCCTAGACAAGCACCACAGTAGTAAATATTAGAATCATATGTGTATGTATTGTTAGAATCATGTATGTATTGTTAGACTATAAAATTCTTAGACTTGATGGGAACTGAGTAGGACTTTCTGACCCAATCAACCATCCCATAAGTCAGGGCAGGAAACCCAATCATCTTTGGGCCCCTCTCCTGTTCTAAATTAACTTCCTATCGCTGAGCAAGGTGACAACAAAGTTTGTCACTAACACTTGGATGTGATAGGTTCACGTAGCACTTCACATTGAAGCATCAGTAGAAAGGGAAGCGAGTGTGCTGTGGTTGTACACAATGGCAGCGATCTGAACCAAGCCTAGGCCTCCCCATGGTTCCTGAGCCGGGCAAAGGCACCTTTCAGCTACCTTCCCGGAGTGACTCAGAACTTGCTGCAGCAGTGTCTTCTCCGTAAGGTTTCCTTTTCAGACAGGCAACTCTAAAAGAATCTTCCTCTTCTTCTTCTTTTAATATAAAAGCAAAAGGCTCAAAATGTTTAATCCCCATCTCTAAAGGGATACTGAAATAGCAGTTATCCAGGGGCAGGAGCTCCTCACTGTGCCCTTGATTCCGCGACCTGCTTTACCATCATCTCATGTAAGTGATCCTTTTCTCCCCCCTGTTCGCTTAGGAAGCAACATCATTGTTTCGAGCCCCAGTTTCTCCCTTGCCACACCGTTGGAATTGGGGCATGCTTTTCAGTGAGGTGCCTGTGAACCCCACTGGCTGGAAGCCCTGCCCTGACACTGTTGCTCTGAGCGCCTGTGTGCATTCCATAATTGACATGAAAGAAAGAGAAATAAGTGAGTGTGGCCAAAAAGAGGTGGCTCGTATGAGAACAGATCTCTGTCCCCAGGAAACTGCCTCTTCCTTCTTTTGTCCCTTTCCCTCCTCTCCTCTCTTTCCGCTCCTTCTCTCACACACATAACTCCCAGTCAGAGGGCCGATCTTCTTGGGGTGATCTTATTAAAGCAGGTGACACGAAGAGGTTTAACTCATTCGATGAATTTTTAATGCAGTTTCTTATTTCCTTGAGATATAGATAGGCTTCCCAGTGCCCCCTATTCTGGGAGGTTCCCAATGTCCTTTTTCCTCTCAGAATCTGGAAGACCCTTGCAATTCACACATGTAAGTTCAGAGGGTGCAGTAAGTCTCTGTCCAGAATAAGACATTGGGGTCTGTCAAAGCAAATGGAAAACCCCAGTGGAAATTCCCACGTGAGGTTGTGGTTTATTAAGGGCTATGTCACAAGAATTCATTCTTGTTTCTATGGTTAGTGCGAAGTATCACATTTTCCTCCCACTCTTTTTAAAATAACTTCCAAACTTTCAAGATATCTTTTTAAATGTTTGCCAAAGTAATACCTACATACAGCTTCCATGGCAGTCTAGTGTTCCACCTTTGCCTTATCTCCTAGTTTTGATCCTCACAAGCAACCACATTCAACTCTATAGCTGCTTCTCTGGCATTTACCTTCATATTTCCATTAGTATTCTTAGTATTCTCTTTATTTACTAGTGAAGTTTAGCTACCACCTATTTATTTGAGGATTTAAGTTTTTAACAGCTTCTTTCCCGCATTGCCACTTTCCTTATAAGGATCAATCAATATCCTGTGTTTGACTGATGATTATGTAGACATTGATTTTACTCAGACAAGTGTTACATTATAATCTCTTTTCTTGGGCAAATTTTTGTGAATTCTAAAGTTCATATTATCTTGTTTTCTTATTCTGTTAGTTTTCTTTGTAATGATCATTAATTCTTTCCACATCTTTCTCACAACTGCTCAGTGTAATTTGCCATAAAGTAAAATGTCTTATTTTTACTTTTTTTTGAGAGAGGCTTTGCTTCTGGAAGTCTGCTTTGCACTTCAATGTGGATTAGTGGCTCTCCGGGCTATTCCTCACTGTCATCCTGGGACTCTTCCTCACCACCCTCCAGGGCATTCATTCATTCCCTTTGCCTCCTAGTCTGTGTGGAGATGTGGTAGGCAGTTAGACAAGCAGGAGCAGAGCAAGGATGAGGGCCAGGTTCAGGTCACCAGGAGGAAAGCCCCAGGCGCCCAGCAAAGAACAATGGTGGGTGGGACCTCTCCCCCAGAGTGATCTTTCCTCCCCTAGCACATCGCTGGTCTAGCACTTTGGAGGCCTTGATCTTTCCTCCCTAGAGATAACATGTAGGTCTCAGTTGTGTTTCAGCTCCAGGCCCAGAAAAGCAGCAAAACCAGACAAATGACATGAAGATTGACCTCAGGACAGCTGCATTGAATAATGACCCCCTGTCCTGGCGTTGATCAATCTGTGGAGACCTAGACCCTGAAAGCACACCTGGAAAGCTGCTGAATATTCTGTTGAGATCTTCCCCCCCCCCCCCATCCCCCAAAATCTCTATTCTTAGAATCCTTCGGACCAAGGACCCAGGGAGCGCTTATCTTCTCTTTCCTTCTCTTTTCCCCCTGTCCTTTCCCTTCCCCCTCCCCCTTCCCTGAGGCACATTACATTACCTTCCTCACTCTCAACCTCTGCATTGTTTAAGTCTGATTGTGTACAGTAATCTAGGGTAAAAATGACTGCACACAGAATTTTGAAAGCATTGGTCTATTGCCTGCTTCTCAATGTGGGTGTTGAAAGCTGATGTCATTTTCATTTTTACTCTTTTTAATGTAATATATGTTGTTCTATGCCGGAAAATTTTGAGAATGTCTCTATATCCTTGGTGTTGTGAAATTATTTCTTTTTCTTCTTTCCTTCCTTCCTTCCTTCCTTCCTTCCTTCCTCCCTCCCTTCCTTCCTTTCTCTCTCTCTCTCTCTCTCTCTCTCTCTCTCTCTCTCTTCCTCTTTTTCATTTATCATGCTTGGCTTTGGTGGGCAATATTAATCCATTGATATCACAGCTTTCAGGTTCATAAAATGTTTTGCATTATTATTTCTTGATAATGTCTCTGTTTCTGTTTTGTAGGTGTCCTTTTAATTGGACACTGTGATGGCCATGGGGTGCTTGGATTAACATTGTTTCTGGGTGTGTCTGGATAAGATTAGCATTTGAATTGGTGAATTTAGTAAACTGCCCTCCCAATGTGGCTGGGTATCATCCAGTCTGTTGAAGTCCTGAATAGAACAAAACAATGCAGGGAGGAAGGATTCCCCCTACCCCTCTGTTTTGTTTTGTTTTCATTTTAAACAAGAAATGAAACAAGATACTTGACTTGAAGGGAAAACTATCTAGGATTAGTTTTTCTTTAGAGCAATTTATCCCTAAAGACAATTGCCCTATATGTAACAGCTACATACAAAAAAAGTTATAAAATTGTCTTTGGTTTTACAATGATAAATAAAAAACATTAAAATTCTCCAATCAAACAAGGTATGCAAGAATTTTATGTTCTTTTTTTTGTTAAACATTGAGAGCAAAATAACTTACTGCAGTGGTTCTCAACCTGTGGGTCGAGACCCCTTTGGCGGTCGAACGACCCTTTCACAGGGGTCACCTAAGACCATCCTGCATATCAGATATTTACATTACGATTCATAACAGTAGCAACATTACAGTTATGAAGTAGCAACGAAAATAATTTTATGGTTGGGTCACAACATGAGGAACTGTATTTAAAGGGGCAGAAGGTTGAGAACCACTGACTTACTGGAATATAAAGATAAGAGCTGAATAAGCTTGCCGCTAATGGGGAAAGGAGGTGTTTTCACAGAACCAGCATTTTTTCCCATCCATTTCCATTTGATGTCCATCAAAACATACCATTGGCCATTTAGTTAAAAAAAAATGCAAATGCTTGTGCACATACATCAGTTACTTTATGTGCAATAAAGGAATGGGGAAAAGGGAAAGGAAAGAATAGAGAACACTATACCGTAGCAGTCAGATGTGTTGAAACCGAATTGCCGTTTTCTAACTGAGAATGTCTTCGAGGAACAGCATGCTGGAGTAAAGTGGCAGGTTCTCTTTTTAGTAGACACCCCCTGTCTGCTGCTGGAACACATCAATGGTATCTCCCCCCTCCGTTTCCAACTGTGCAGGTGTGTCTGCTTCATTGATTGGCTGCCGGTCAAATCAGAATCTGATCTGCCTCATTGACAAACCCTGTCGTTCACAATAGGCTTCAATTAGTTTACGAAATGGTGTGTGCCTCTTAATCTTAAACTGCACCACAGACCCATCCTGCCCCGCCACGTACAAATTAATCTGATCATTGACCCCTTCCTTGGGTTTTTCCTTGGCCATGGAGGGCCCCAGAGTCTCCTCAGCTGCCACTTCACAGAAGGGGTACCAGGTCCGCACCGAAGGGGCACACAAGCAGCACCAGGAGCGGCAGAAGGAGGCGGCAGTGGAGCCACCCACCTCTTTATGCCTCACTGATTGAGCGGAGACATCCCTTCTCATCTTTTCCTGCCCTCAGATTGGAATTTACGACATTGGTTTCGCTGCTTATCAGGCCTTCAGACTCAACTAGAATTACACCACTGGTTTACAGACAGCAGACGGTGAGATTCTTAGCCTCCATAATCATGTGAGTCAATTCCTCGTAATGAATCAGCCTCACATATATAATATTGGTTCTGCTTCTCTGGAGGACCCTGGCACTGAACCTTTTAGATTCTCCTAAGATTTTCTTGCATTTTCTCTTCTACCCCGTCTCTTCGTCTCTTTGTTCTACTTTCTGGGAGTTGCCCTCATCACATTTCTTAGCTACATATTATTAGAGTTCATAAAAATGTGTAGTTCTCCTCCTTGCTAAACATGTGAAATGATTACAATGCCTTGTGCCTTTGTACTCCAGAGGAGCCCTATGATTTGCTTTAGCCAATGAGATATGGAGATATTGAGGTAGGAATTCCTGCTATGTGATTTCCCACATTCTCTTTCCCTGTAATGGTGAACCCCAGAGCCTAATTAAAATAGGTGTTTCACAAGTTTAGAGCAGCCTAGCACGTCACCACGCCTCCAACAGAGGAGAGCTGCGCTGGAGTCCCCAGAACCAACAAAAGACTTTGTAAGTAAACCTTCACTCTGTTAAAACCTGAGTTTGTCTCTGTTGTCACCATGGCAAATTTTGCGTATCCTAAATGATTCAGTCTTCTAGAGTCTTCCTTGTGATTTCCTTGTTCTCTTTTTGTAGCATCTCCTTGTTTCATGGACATAATGATCTTTCTTAGCCTCAAAGTGGTAACAATGTCATGATTGCTTCCATTGCTTCTGTATAAAGTGAATTACTTTTTCTTCCCTAGTTGGCATGTGTTGATGTCTGGCTTTCCTCAATGCCCGGATTGTTGGCTTTCATCCCTCTGGAAAGAGGCACCAGAAGTGGGAAGCCCCATGTGCCTGCCATGGCTTGTTGGTTGTTGAGCTTTGCAGTAGCATAGTCAGAGGAAAGACGGAAAGACTGATTTTCCTAGCAGAACCCCAAATATCATAACTGTAGGTGTGGGGCCATTCAGCTTCTCTAGAGAAGTGCTCACCTGCCACCACTTTCTGTTTGAAAGTGTTGAGGGAGCCAAGTAGAGATAGGGAAGAAGGAGACACTCTCACCTATTATACCGTAATGCCTCTTATTTGTTGATCCACAAGTATTCTGTGTTCTTCTACTGTTTCTGAGTGTAGCATCTCCCTGGTTCAATTTCTCCAGACATAAGCTATCAAACTTCAGACTGTGTGGGGTTTGGGCAGAAATGTGTTTGGGGCAGTGGTAAGGGCCTAGTGGTCTGTTTCTTGAATAGAATTGCAGCTGATTTTCTTGTTTCCAGCTCCCAGATTATCCCTGCCTTCTACAGTCCTGACACCTAAGGGACTTCTGAGACTGTGAAGTCTGGGAGCAGCTCTGCTTTCCAGTTGTTGTCTCTCCTCTATGCATTAAGTTCAAACTTCTCTGGTTTTCTATCCTTACCTTTCTTCTGCCTGCATTGCATCTTCTAAAAATGGGTTGAAGCCTCTCATCTGCTTATGTTTTCCTTTCCATTTTCTATTCATTGCAGATTTATACTTGATTACTCTATTGACAATTTAGGGGAGATTTAATTTTGAGCAGAGATAAAGAGATATGCCATCTGCCTGGTTCATCTAGGATTATCTCAATATGAACTCTTATTGTGTATTAAGGTGGTCAGCATTCAGACACTTATTTATTCTACAAAATGCAATGAGTGTCTTTATATCCTACCATATGCCATATCCTATAGGAGATGTAGTGGAGAATAAGAAATCATTATTTAAGTGATGGGTAGAAAAAAAGATTCTTAAAAAGGGTCTGAGAAAGAGTGGTCAGGAAGGAAAGAGGAAAATCAAGAGTATTTTGTTATGGAAGTCAAGAATAATTTACCCTTTAAAGAGAATGTTCAGTAGTATCCACTGCTAAATAGGTGCAGACCAATTTAAGAGTGACCAGAATAAGATGGAGGGTATTTAGGAATTATAACTGGCAAGAATTAGAAACTGGCTGAATATGCAGGGTGAGGAAAAATTTCCTAAATCTCCAGCTTGCGTGCCCAGATTAATGGTGGTTCTATTTCCTGAGATGAAAATCTCAGGGAAATGGTCAGTTTTGGCAAGCAAAGTTTTGGAGAAATTTAGGTACCTCTCAAATATCCAAGATGAAACACTCTTCATGAAATTTTGTACGTGGTTCTCAGACATAAAAGAGGGATCTGGGTTACTTGGGGTCAGGAAAGATAAGGACTAAGAAGATAGGGGTCTCTTACAATGAAGAGGGCATCAGTTAACTTGTAAAACAGTTGCTTGGTGTAAGGGAGAAGCCAGATTGCAGTGGCTCTGGGAGAAAACTAGAAGGGGTGAAGTAGTGTCAGCCAGTGTGTGGTCTATCACCAACTGTGTGGAACTTTGTGCCCAAACTCAGTTCATTAGTCTTATCCATTCCCCACTCTACTCCCTCCCCCACTTTGCTCCTTTAAACTTATCCATAAATTTATGGTGTCATCTCCGTATACACATTAATTCTGGCAGTTCCTTTATACTTACCCAGCGAGTCCCTAAGGCTAAATCAATATAATCTCTGTCTTTATTTTGGTTTTTGCAACCAAGCTGTTAATTAATTTAATGAAATATGCACGATCTGTGGTTTGTTTTCAATCAAACTTCGTAATCACCAGCCCTATTTCAGCCTGGAAATCTTAAATAACTCTTTACCTTCTCATAATTTTTCAGAATCATTTCAAATTTCCAAAATCCTTATTGAAACTTAATCCTAACACCTTGCTGCCACAGAACAATTCCAAACCCACTGAGCAGGAGGCCTTTCACTTCACTGTCAAAATATACTCCTCAAACTAACTATCCTTTCCTTTTTCATGTAAGGGATGCTTTGGTTTATTTATCACCATTTTCCACCATAAAGGTGGCCACAGGCAAACTATAAAATATTCTTATATGCATGCCCTAGAAGACATAGCTCCTCTTTTCTAAACATCCTCCTCTCAAGCCTAGACTCATCTTTTAAAAATGGAAATGAACTATATCACTGCCTAGCTTAACATGCTTCAAAGATTTTCATTACCTTCAAACTGAAACCCAACTTATTTAGCATCTGTAAAGGGCTTTGTATGAAGTCATGGAATTGTGAGCAAATATGATTCTTTGGGAGAACTGAAATACTTTGCGATAGATAACATATGGATTGGGATGGGACGGAAGAAGTAGGCAAAGGACAGATAATGAAGGACCTTGTACCACAAGCCTGGTGGTAATACCCAGAGGAATGGGAGAGAATGAGACCACAAGCTGATACGTCAAGGTGTAAAGACTGGTGTCTCCTGCAACCAGATAGGGGATAAGCAGAAAAGATAGTTTAATATTTTCCATGATGCAGTGCCTTTAAGATGACCTTCTGGTGTTAAAACGAGTTCCTTCTTTTTCACTAAAACTTGGGAGAATGTGGCCATTGCTAACCTAGCCTTGGTGGTGGTGGTAGTGTGCTTATGGTAGGGAAATGGTCAGCTCCAGGCATCAGGTTTTATTCTCAATTGGCATGTTTATTTTTCTTCCTAAAGGAGTTCCTGGTCAGGTCTGCCATGCTTGCCTACACCTCCCTGATCTTACATCTAACCAATTGTGCAACCTTAAATGTTAGTCAGCCTTACAAAACGGCAATGAGAAAGTACAATATTGAGTCATTATTAATACATTCTATCTTTCCCCATGTAAGTGTTGATTTACTTTGTGTCAATACAGCTTAGTTAATATTTTTGGAGTTTTATATAAGTAAAATTATACACTGTGTATTCTTTTTCCCTGGTTTATTTTACCCACCATAATTATATTGAGATATAGCCATGTTATTACATGTATCAATAGTTCATTATTTTTCAATTGCTGCAAGTAGTCCATTGTATGGACATAAACATTTATTTATACATTCAACAGGGGATGGCTATGTGAAATATTTCCAATTAATGGCCAATACAGATAAATCTGCTATAAACATTTGAGTACAACTTCAAATCCTTGTATGGATATCTGCTTCCATTTCTCTTATATGTATACCTAGAAGTGGGATGGCCTGATAGTATGGCCTGTGTATATAAGATCAGGTTGTATATCAGATTGGTTTTAAGAAGCTGCCAAAATGTTTTCTAAAATTGTTTTACCACTTATATTTTTTACTACTGTGTATGAGAGTGCATGCAGTTGACTCTTGCTTTCTTTTATTAGTAATCCATTCTGACAATCTCTGCCTTCTAATTGTGATGTTTTGACCACTTATATTTACTGTGATTATTTATTTGGTTTCTTGTTCATCTATCATCTTGCTATTTATTTTCTATTTGTCCCATTGGTACTTCGTTCACTTTTTCCTCTATTTCTGCCTTCTCTTTCTTTTTTTTACTGATTCCTTTATATCTCTTTTGTTGACATATTAGTTATAATTATTTGTCATTTTATTTGTTGCTTTAGGGTTTATAGTACATATCTTTAACTTATCACAGTCCATCATTTCACATAGAGGATAATATCTTTATGTCCATTTTTCACATTCCATAAATAGCTTTTATGATATTGTTGTTATATATTTTAATACATAAATTATAAACACCACAAGACACTGTTCTTTTTCTTAATTAGTCAGGTGTCTCAAAGTTATTTAAATAATAAGGAAAAATGTCCTACCTGTTTGCCCAGAATGGTAGTCTTCTTTTTTTGTGCAGATTCAGATTTTTAGTATACTTTTCCTTCTGCCTCTGAGTACTTCCTGTAATATTTTCATTAGTGATAAT